AATCTCAATTTCAAAAAATTGACACTTATGATTGGTTTTGTGGTCCAGGGTTACATATCAGTATTCAATGTTTTAGGATTGAAATATCAAAACATTATTTATGCATTTGTAACTGCGGGTTAAATGCATTCATGTCCTGCATTTAACAGTGTGTAAATACATCTAAATGCCCCTTCAGATGCAGCTTCTGTGTTTCCTCTGCATTGCAAAGATGAATTTTGTTGATAATGGTTTTATTTGTTTGGTAACAGCTCCAAATGTCTTCTTATTGTTATTGACTTTATTGATTCAATGTAAGAGTTTGACATACTTATAGAAAAAATGGCTTTACAAAGGTAAAAATGCCTATAAAGGGTAAAAATCATTTTAAAGGGGTCATATGACGTTGCTAAAAAGAACAGTATTTGGTGTAATGCAATGTGTTTATGCAGTTTAAGGTTAAAAAAACACATTATTTTCCTTATTTTCCACATTATTATTGCTCATCTGTAGACATGTGGGGGCGTGTTTAAACGAGGCGTTTTAGGAGGGCGTGGATGAGTCTTAACTTTTATAAAGCATATCTCTTTGGGTTTGAGACTTTAGTCTTTGCAACTTTAGGGATCTTATCTATTCACGAACAGCTTGTAACACTCCAAAGAGAAAGGAAAACTTGAAATCGCATCATATGACCCCTTTAAACTTGTTGGAAAATAATAATTTCTGTCACTTCTGTGAACTGACCACCACACAGAGTCAGCTGTCCACGGCAGTCCTGCAACGCAACACACTCGGCAAAATATCGTCTGATTATCGTTATCGATAAAATCCCAGAAAATATCGAGATATCATTTTTTGTCAATATCGCACACCCCTAGGCTATATATTTAATTCTTCTTTGCTTAGTTATTGTTTGGTACACCTAATTCACTGATCATCGTAAAATAAGTTTTTATCTTAGAATTAGGTTTTCAACGAAAAAGAGGACAAGACAAAAAAATATGATTCATATTTATATAAAGTTTTATTTTATTTATTTTTTTGAAGGTGGTGTGGGAGGAGGGGTCTGGTTAGGAGGACCCCCCCAAGAGATTTGACACAATTCGAACACTGCTCGAGACACTCACGATTCAGAATTTCCCTGCCAATCTGATGGCTATACTATGATGACATGTGGCAAGTAAAGTGCAGGCATGTCTGTTTGACCCCTGCGTCCTGCGTCGCTATAAAGAGCAGAGGAATGAAAGTTGTGACTGTGTTGCTGGGGGACTGATGGAAGCATAAACCTTTAAACTAAACCATTCTACTTTCCGTCCTCCAGCCTCCTCCCGCGGAGAGTTAGGTTTGAGCTATTTTACCCTGCTGATTGATGCATGCTGAAGGTATTTTAAGATACTAAAGTGCTTTATGATATGACAGCTGGAATTCATGTATATGCTGCATCTTCCTTTCCAATGTGTTCTTTCTTGATCTTGAACGTTCCATTAGTAGTTCAGTATTGAGCTGAATATGTGGTGAGTTCTTGTGTGGGTGTTATGTAGGGCCCTTTTGCTGGGTTTGTTCTGGGCTCTCCATGCTCTTCGAGGGCTGATGAGGAGGCTGTGTGCATACAGTGGGAGGATAGATAACTCCAACAACTCAGGGGTTTGGAGGTCACTCTTCTACCTGGAGGCCAGATACGCCTGAAATAGCTCATCGCTGGGGCTTTTTGTGTATGCACACTGATAAATGCTGAAATGTTCTGGAAAGCATTGACGCACTTGTGAATTGCGCCGTCGGGCCTCTCTTAAGTCATGAATCAGCTCTCAGCTAGAGCGAAATTTAATAGACCCGTCATTCTCACCTTGTGGTACAGGTCTGCGTTAGTCAGCAGCACAATTAAGCATGTCATTGAAACGTGTCCATGTAATTTGAAGTATGGACCTTTAATTAAAAAAAGAAAAAGTCTTAAGCTCCTCTCTATCTAAATCTAATGTTTCATTCAGGGGGTGTACATTGTGAAGCGTTCAAAACTGGATCAAGAAGCTTTTTATGTTTTGTTTTAATTCCTGAATTTGAATTGAATTTGAGATGAGGTAGTACACAAGATGCAGATGATTCCAATTTGAAAAGTAAGTAGAATTAAAATGAAATGAGATTAATTTAAGTGACTTTTTTTTAACTAGAAAAGCCAAGTTTGTCAAGGAAAACTTGATTGTATAAGTGCTTATTTGAAAGTTTTGAAAAAGGTTAAAAGCGGTTTATAAAAAAATACATTAAGTATAGTTTATAAGTCGTGGATGGAGGCTTGTAATGCAACTATTTATTTATTTAAATAAATATATTTAAATAATTACATATGCACAAATTACATAAATAAATACATATATTTGTTCATTGTATATTTATTTCATTGTATAAAAATAAATACAAATAAATTACAAAAAATAGTTAAACAAAATAAATGTATTTATGTAACTTATTTGTGTATATGTAATTTAAATATTTAATTACATAAAATAAATAAATACATAAAATAAGTGTATCATTCGTCATTTATTTGTGTTTATGTAATTAAACATTTAGATTACATAAATACATTTATTTTGTGTATACAAACTTTTTGTCTTATTTATTTTTATATAATTAAATATTTAAATATTGCATGAATGAATATACATGTATTTCTTTATTTCTTATTGTTTGTTTGTTTATTTATTTTTTTTATATTTATATATTATTTATATTTATTATGTAATTAAATAAATATTTAAATAATTACATAATTTACATAAATGCATGGTTTTTGTTGTAATTTTATGTAATTATGTATTTATTTACTCATATTCATATTCGATAAATTATCTTCTGTGTTGAAATTTCTTTGAATATCAATTCACTAAATTCTTCTTCCTGATTCAAATTCTAATTTAATCTTCCTTTGCGGTGTGGCTAAATTCACACTCATAAATTGAAAAGCAGACAATTCTTTAATTCTGACTTTTACCCAACCCTGTTTGCATTAACACCAGTTTATGAACAGTTATCTATAGCATTATCTATACTTCTCCTCCTCCAAATCATGGTCTGTCCATAAGACAACCTTTTATCAGTGTCCATTCCTACAAGAGAGTACTTGTTGGTTGATCTTGTTCGTTTTCTCGTTGCCAGCGAACAGTGCTGGGTGACCTTCTGGGAACTGGACTTCATTGTGTACATTTGTTCCCGATTTAGGTGGCTAAAAGTTGCAATTGAGCTCCATTAAGTCTTTCTGAGAAAAGCCGTCACGGTCTCGTGTGTGTGTGTGTGTGACCTTGTCGCCGTAGCTCCTCATAGATCGTGGCGAAAGCACAGCTTGTTAATCCACAGTGCAGAGATTCTGTTGCACGCACATGTGATGATCGGTGCCAAGGCCAAGCAGCATCCATTGTTATCATGCCCTGCCATTTCTCATGCTGCCACACTCCACATGCTGGCCGAGCAGATTCCCCAGACTTTCACTGATGGATATGTTAATGTTTAACATGGACAGATCAGCAAATAGACACTTTATCCTGCTAAGTGTGGCCTAAGAAAGATTCTCAAACGTGCTCCTTAGAGGTGCTCTTGAATGCCATTGTTATAAGTTATGAGTGTAACACCTCCTAGTTGATTGACAGCGTGGGGGTGTTAACCTTCGTCACTCTTCCTGTCGAGTGCGGGGCAGCTGCTGTCATGCCTCTGTGTTTAAACCTGATCAGGACATCGTCGAACATATCAAAATAGTTTCTCCATTTTTGGCGTGGTGAATTGTTGCTCCCCATGCTATTTTCTTCTCTCGCCCTCAAGGGCGCAGATGAGCTTACATGACTACTTTGTTCTCGATGGGTGAACACGCTCTCTCTTTCTCTCGCTGGTTCTCTTTTTAAGTCCTTTAAGTCATTTTTATGACTGTGCAAAAGAGACTAGTGGATTTGATTAATTAAAGATCATAATTTGATTTGGGTTTGCCATGGTTCATCTTGCCTAGCATATTCATCAGTCAGGAAAAGATTTCAGAAGACATTTATGCTTTCTGATGGCTGTGTTCTCTGCAATATGTGTGGATAACACATGCAGCATTACATGCTGTATTAAAATATTCAAGCCAAAAAAAGCAACAAAACAAACTATAATACACAGTTTTGAGGTATAGTATGATCATAGAAGATAAACTTTTGATCTGTAAACAATATATATTATTTCTGCACTGACATTGCAAGTTTAATGTTGCATTGTGGAACTCGAGTACCTTCATAATGCATAAGCCAGACTGATTTGCAAAGAGGTTTGTTTTTAACCTATGTGTTTATGTAAAGGGATAGATCACCCAAAATTGAAAATGTATCATTTACTCACCCTCGTGTCAGTCAAAACTTGTATGACTTTGTTTTTTTGCAAAATGTAAATGAAAATAATTTGAAGAATATTTAAATTGTTTTTGTTCATATAATTGCGGTGATTGTGGTTCAAAACAACATTGGACCTCATTAATTTGCATAGTTTTGTGTAAAGAGTATTTTAATTTATTATTATTTTTATTTTATTTTGTCTGTGCATTTATTAGCAATTTTAACTGTGCTATGAAGCTGAGGATTTGAGGATTTATTGGCAACAGGTTTAAAAATTTATCATCCTGTGTAAATAAACAACTTTGCTCTGAAACGTGCTGCACATATACGTATTTAATTAAATCAAAACCTGATTTAATTTGGTAAAAGCGATATCACAATATCAATTTTATTTAGATTAAACGTTAAGTCCTTTATTAAAGCTCAATGTGGATGGAAAAATTGCTTGTCACTGGAAACTTTTTAATTGTTTTTGGTGGTCATTATTGGCGGTCATTGTTGTTCGAAACATCATTGGACCCCACTGATTTGCATATAGTTTTGTGTAAGGAGTATTTTGTGTTGCATTGCATTTTTTGTTTGTGCATTTATTTGCAATTTTAACTGTTATGAAGCTGAGTTTTTGACTTATTTGTTCTGAGTACCTTGTTTTTTTTCTCCTCCTCCTCCTAGTGGGCGACAAGGTACCTGCCGATATACGTATCTGTGCCATTAAGTCCACCACGCTCAGAGTGGACCAGTCTATTCTGACAGGTAACAAAGCATTTGGTTCATTTGTATGTGTTTAAGTGTCAAGTATCTTAGCTGTGTTTTACTATTAATTCGGTCATGTTGCAGGCGAGTCTGTCTCTGTCATTAAGCACACCGACCCCGTGCCAGATCCCCGCGCCGTCAATCAGGACAAGAAGAACATGTTATTCTCCGTAAGAAAATTAGACTTCAGCTGAACTTTAATTCACAAAGCTTTTTGGTGCAAAAGACTCGTATTTTTCCTGTACATTTAAATGCGTGCATTTCAGGGAACCAACATTGCTGCGGGAAAAGCCGTAGGTGTGGTGGTGGCCACAGGTGTGAACACAGAGATCGGTAAAATCCGTGATGAGATGGCCTCCACCGAGCAGGAGAAGACGCCCCTGCAGCAGAAGCTGGATGAGTTCGGTGAGCAGCTCTCCAAAGTCATCACTCTCATCTGCATCGCCGTGTGGATCATCAACATCGGCCACTTCAACGACCCCGTCCACGGCGGCTCCTGGATCCGTGGAGCCATTTACTACTTCAAAATTGCCGTTGCTCTGGCCGTGGCCGCCATCCCTGAAGGTCTTCCTGCTGTCATCACCACCTGCCTGGCTCTCGGCACCCGCCGTATGGCCAAGAAAAATGCCATTGTCCGCTCTCTGCCCTCTGTGGAGACGCTGGGTTGCACTTCCGTCATCTGCTCTGACAAAACCGGCACCCTCACCACCAACCAGATGTCTGTCTGCAGGGTGAGCCCTTTCTTTAGCAGTTTAGTCTTCCTAGGCTTTGTACAGAAGGTTAAGTGCACTTAATAACTCCATGAAATATGCACAAATTTGCATACAACCCTGTTGTCCGTAAACCCTACAAAGTCTGTTGTCCTGGAAGAAAAAGTATTGAAAAATTTGAATAGCATAAATCAGCCATATAAGTGACTTTTCTCAACTTTTAGGAGTACACTAGCACATCGATGACCTCAAAACTAATAAACATGAACTAAAAGCCACAAAAATCAAATGTACATTTCAATGGGGAATTTAAATAGGTGAGCCTGTGTGTATATATAATCTAAAATACATAAAATTACATATAAATGATAATCACAAAAATATGAAACAATACAAGATATATTACTACTGTAATAATACTATTTTTATTCAGAGCAGGGTAGATAGAGCAGGTACAAATTGTAATCCATTACTGATTCCAAATTACTTGACGACAAATTGTAGTTCGTAACGTAATCATTACATTACACATTTTAGGTAATATAATCGTTTATCACATTGATTAAAATAGGATAATCTTGTACCATATTTGTATAAAAATACAAAGAGGAAGAAAATATATTCCATTTGTTATCATCAACAACAACATGAAGTGCAATAAACTTTATATTACATCAAACTGGATTTGTGAAGGAACTGCAGGGGGTGTATGAGTTTAATGAAAATTTTTTTTTTTTTTTAATGAATAAAATAAAACACTTACTGAAAAAATGAAATATTTTATTTGTTTACCTGCATGTCATGTGACTATAACCAACCTCAGAGAACTGTGAACATGCAAATGTGATACTTCATTATTAAAGGAACACTCCACTATTTTTGAAAAGCTCGGAAAATGGTATTAGTCATCCAGTTAGTTATTTCTCACGTAAGTTTAATTCTTATCAACTGAATTATTCTGTTATTGAGAAGGAAACGCTGGCATTGATCTGGGCACTTCAATACTTTGATGTGTATGTGGGGGGAGGGTCCTCAGTTGTCATCTATTCGGATCACAATCCTTTGACATTTCTTCACACACTACAGAGTCCGAGCCAACGCTTAATGAGATGGATACTTGAAAAAGGTAAAACTCAACTGTTTAACTAGGGGAGTTGGAAAATGAGCCTATTTTCAAAAATAGTGGAGTGTTCCTTTAAAATATTTATTTTAAAATCTCAGGGGTACTTCAAAGTATAATATAGTAGGTGAAAGAGGATCCGATGGAAAAAAAGTTGGTGAATTTGTGCATTTTAAATGTGTTCGAAATGGTCAAATGCTGTGTAGCCACCTGACTAGTGACTGCTCTCTGTGTGAACGTCCACAAAACTGGAAGACTTTCTGAGTGTATATAAGCGGTAGTCTATTTTAGAAAGGAAAATTTAAAAGATGAAAAAGAGGAATTAGGGAGAATCAATAAATTATGTATTTAAGTTATTGCTATTGTGTAAATATGTAATCTTAAGTGTAACTGTAGTCTGATTACAATTATTTTAAAATGCAATTTACTCTAATTACAAGTACTTAATTTTTGGAATATGATTACGTAAACCAGATTACATGTAATCAGCAACTACCCAGCTCTGTATTTTATTACAATAAATATAATAATACTATTATATTGTTATAGTAAGGTTATGAAAACCTGTAGGAAGCCCTTAAGCTTCTCATTTGTTGGCAACAGGTTTAAAAATGCTTAATTTTTCGAATTGTTGACACTGAAAACACCGGATTATGTGTAAAAACTTTGCTCTGAAACGTGCTGCACATATACTTATTTAATTAAATTGCAGCCTGATATGATTTAATAAAAGCAATATCACAATATCAGTTTTATTTCAACTAAACATTGGACTCTTTATTAAAGCTCAGTGTGGATGGAAAAATTGCTTGTCGCTGGAAACTTAGAATACATTGGTAAACACATGCTGATTGCACTTCATCTTTGTCCTCCTGCATATTTCCCACAGTACTCAGTCAGGAGATGTTTATTCTGAGGTTTTTTTTGGTCGATTAAAAATCCTCTGTCATTCTCGGGAAATGAAGTGTTTTGGTGCAGCTTCCTGAACTGCACCGATAAAGATCTCTGTCATCGGACTGGGCTGCTCGCTCTGCAGAAATGCAGGAATGAGCTCAGTGATGGATGGCTGTAGTGTCCGAATTATGACGTTTCTTTTCTCTCCATCGGATGTTAGAGCACTTTGAGTTTGAACTTAAAGTCTGCGACACAAAGGCAGAATAAGCGTTTCATCTCTCTGTCTCTGTGTGCTTTCAGCCCCCTTCCCTGGCCTCCCACTTGCTGCTCTGCCAGTTTCTGTATTTACTTAAACATAATAACACGCAGGACAGAATTACAGCACCCTGCGTCATTGCGCACATAATCTTCTTAGGCTAATACTTGCTTATGCTGCAATCTTCTGTCAGTTAACTTTCCAACAAATTCCTTCAAGACGGCATCTAGTTACTGGTATCTTAAAGGAACAGTTCACCCAAAATTCTGTTACTTATAGGTTTTGTAAATATACCAGTTTGGAACTGCATTGCCGCAAATAAATGCCAAACTGTTTCTTTAACATTGTGTCTGTCTTTCAGATGTTCATCATAGACAAGGCTGAGGGAGATAACTGCTCACTGACTGAATTCACCATCTCTGGCTCCACATACGCTCCTGAAGGAGATGTGTGAGTTTTCTGTCTCTGCTCTCATATTTACTTGTAGTACTGCAGTCAAACTGATGCCTATGATTTCACATTTTTGTCAGCTTCTGTTTTAGTAGGTGGTTTATTGATCATTCTGTTTGGTTGCTCAGATTCCTTGATAACCGAGTAGTGAAAAGCTCCCAGTATGACGGGTTGGTGGAGCTGGCGACCATCTGTGCCTTGTGTAATGATTCCTCCTTGGATTATAATGAGGTATGTTTACTAATTGTCCTTTCTTAGCTTTGATTATATAAGCAATAATGTCCATTACTTTATATTTAGAAAATTCAAAATGAATATCCATCCATCCATCCATCCATCCATGTTATAATTAATAATAAATATTTAGATTAGATCTTAGAATTAACTGTAGCAGAATCTTACAATTATTTGATTTGTCCGTCCACCGAGCAGACAATATAATAATTTATCAATTCAAGGAAAGATTATTTTCCTGGCCAAGGAACAGTAGCTTTCCTACTTTATGCAGTACTAGCAGTAATTTAGCATGTAGCAAGGGATCAACATTCAGTGACTCCTTCAGTGAATTGTGAGCAGCACACAGAGGCAATCAATTGTGAATATAAGGGATTTAATAAATGAAACTATAGCTAATGTACAACTAAACTAAGCAAAACGCATATATACAGAATGAAGGAAAGAGAGAGAAGAACAAAAGAATGGCAGTATTTCACATCAATTAACCACAACCTAATGAGAATCCTCAAATAATCAAAAATCACCTTATAAAAGGGGCTCAAACTTAAGCACGCATCTAAATAGTTGTAAACGATTACTTGCATTGGCTTTGTTGCTGAAAAAGAGTCCTTATGCGGTAGACAACGGAGGTTCTTGAGTTCTTTTAGAAGTGAGCTGAAGGTTTTCCTCTGGTTCTTCTGAAGATACGAAATTCCACAGCGGATCGACAAAGTTACTTGAAGAAAACAAACCGCCAGAAAATCAAACTCAAGAGGAGAGTTTTGAGGAGTCTTGGAGAGTGTCCGTCTCAAGAAGAAAGGTTTCTGAGCCAAGATTAGTCTGAGTTAATGACTTTTGATAGTTCCTATCCACACCCACCTTTTGGGTGGAATAGCCAATACCAGGCGTGAATTTTTGAGCGGGAGATGTTTTCTTTGTCTCCCTTTATGGCCCATTTGCTTGTTTATGGCCGGTCTGGAGGATTGGTGCAGTTTTACCCAAAATATAGTACCAATCGTATGATGCATTTGACAAATCACATACTTCTACAAACTACACAGATCATATTGATACCAAGAAATAAACATTTAGAAGATATTAAACCAGAGATACATTCATACACCTGAATATAAACATTTAGATCTTAACTAATACAAATAATGAGTGGTAACTAGGCTAATATAATAGGGAAACATACAGACAACACATGCATATACCAGATACAATTGTAACTGATTGATTATAGTCTAAATAAAGAAAATGTCTTTATGTGCGTGTGTTAAGTGTATTGTGAGCATGTTGTAGTTTGCTGGTCAGCCAGGCCGTTGGTGCCTGGCCCCGGGGTCATTTACGTCTCTTTTGTAATGTGTTTGAAGTTCGATGGGGAGACGAGAGTGGTGAAACTGTTTAGCATCTCCTTGATAGTGGGGGGAACCATTGGCAATTTAGCACCCATATAAATGTAGAATGTGGGGCCATGTTTGTAATTTATATGCAAATGTCAAAAGGTTAAAAGGGGTCTCTAAGACATAAAACCCCAATGATCATCCATGATTTTAAGCAGATGCTACACTATCTATCTATCGATCTATCTATCCTTCAGTGTCACATGATCCTTCAGAAGTCATTCTAATATGCTGATTTGCTGCTCAAGACACATTTCTAATTATTATCAATATTAATAACCGTTGTGCTGCTTAATATTTTTATGGAAAACATTTTTCAGGATTCAAAAGAACTGCATTTATTTGAAATATAATTTTGTTGTGACTATTCATACTTTTGCTCAATTTAATGCATCTATGCTACATAAAAAGTATTTAATTTCTTAAAAAATAATAAAAATAAAAGATGAAATAATTTTTTTTTTTTTTTTTAAATTTTGGACACTAGTGTGAGATGTCGTCATCGTGAATGTCTCTGGCCAGTGTCATGTTTTAATGTAGTTTAATATGAAGATATTACTTAATCATTCTTGGGATAATGATCTTAATTTGATTGCATCTCTAACCATGTTTGCTGGCAGTAGAACGGTCACGATGAAAAGCTTTAGCAGAAGTTCAGTTCCACGCATGGAGGATGCACCTAAATGATAAATGCCAACTCTCTTTCAGTCTAAAGGTGTTTTTGAGAAGGTTGGAGAGGCCACGGAGACGGCTCTGACCTGCCTGGTGGAAAAGATGAACGTTTTTGACACTGACGTCAGGAGCCTGTCTAAGATCGAGAGAGCCAACGCCTGCAACTCAGTAAATATTTATACAATTAATAAAGAATTATGCAAGCACTTGTTTAAACATGATTTAATAACTCAATATGTCTGTATATGTAGGTGATCAAACAACTGATGAAGAAGGAGTTCACCCTGGAGTTCTCCAGAGACAGGAAGTCCATGTCTGTGTACTGTTCCCCCAACAAGGCCAAATCCTCTTCTGCTAAGATGTTTGTCAAGGTGCTAACCGGATACTTTTTTTTGTTGTTTACGGAGTTGTTGTATTGGCAAGTTTTTCAGATTGATAATTTGGGCTGTCTTCTACAGGGAGCTCCAGAGGGAGTGATTGAGAGGTGCACATATGTGCGAGTAGGTGGATCCAGGGTTCCCCTGACTCAAGGCATCAAGGATAAGATC